TACGTCCTTCCTACTTAAAACCTTGGAACGGATAGTCGATAGCACGGTTAAAAGCAGTATACCAAAGACCTTAAATATAAGCAGCATGCTTATGTAAAGGGACGATCGGTGGAAACCGCTTTAAACGAAGTCGTCCACTACATAGGTGAATCTTTCGATAGCAAACTGTATACACTGGTGGTATGCATTGACATCGAAGGCGCCTTCAATAACGTGCACACTGATACCCTTATCCAATCCCTAGACCAGTTTTATGTTGACCGGGTGCTCCGTAACTGGATCAACTACATGCTAAGGAACAGATGGATAAGCTGCGAGATGTACGATATAACTATCAGGAAAAAGGTATTCCGCGGTATACCACAGGGTGGCATTTTGTCACCTTTACTTTGGGTTACCACGATTATTAGCCTCCTAAGGACCCTAACCGAGAAAGGACTTAGACCTGTCTGCTATGCAGACGATGTCGTAATACTTTTAAAGGGAAAGGATCCAAATTACTTGTGTAGAAGAGCTGAGGAGGCTCTGAATACGGCCTGGAGCTGGGCTCAACCGAGAGGCCTCAATGTCAACCCGGCAAAAATGTAAATCTGTCTTTTCACAAGAAAGACAAAAATTTCTACGTATACTGAACCTTGCTTCCTGGGCAAGAAGATACCGGTGACAGACAAAGTTAAGTACTTAGGTGTAATACTTGACCGGAAATTAAAATGGAGACACCACATAGAGGATAGGATCAACAAGGCACATCGGTGCTGGGCGATATGTAGGAGAACCATAGGCATAAAATGGGGTCTTAGTCCTACTATGACAAATTGGCTTTATAAAAGTGTAATTAGACCAATTCTAGCTTATGCTTCAATAATCTGGTGGACTGCTTTGGACAAAAAGTGTAATATCAAACTACTACAGAGAGTTCAGCGTACATGCTGCTTAGTTATAAGTGGTGCCATGTGTACTACTTCAACCAAGGCTCTGGAAACGTTGCTAGATATTCCACCCATTGAAACATATATAAGATATGAGGCTGCGCTTACAGCCGAACGGCTCTTTACTTTAGGCGAACTGGCCAAAAACGGTTATAGGACACGTCATCAATGTATACTGGACACATTGGAAGGTTATACACATTCATCGGACGTGCCTGATCGCATACCAGACACAGAATATGTCGGAAACTTTGAAACGCTAATCCCAGATAAAATGTCTTGGTCAAGCGGAACATTGGAGCAAACCAGTAGGAATCCGTTGCTACACGGGTGGCTCTAAATTAGGGGACAAAGTGGGCCTGCGGTTCTATATTGAAGACACAGAAACAAATATACCACCGTTTACCTAATCATAACACAAGCTTCCAGGCAGAAGTTCGAGCAATAACGGAATGTGTAAATTGGTTTTGAATAAATATGGCGCCCACAGGGCTTAATATATTTACCGACAGCCAGAAGGCAATTAGGGCGATATCACGTGATAGAATTAAATCTAAGACCGTATTGGATTGTAAGAAAGCTTTAACTGAATACTCTTCCAGAGGTAAGGTTTACATCATATGGGTACCAGCCCAGTCGGGAGTAGTCGGCAACGAAAGGGCGAATGTAATAGCTTTAAAGGGAAGGGAGCTCGATGTAGTTAACCTGACAAACGCAAAACCATTCGACGCAACAAAAGCTGAATTAAAAATATGGATGAGAGAATCCCATAAGGCCTCTTGGAATAATGAAACGGTGGGTAGAACCACAAAATTCTATGGAGTGACCCTGATGAGAGCAAGACGAGAAATCTCCTGAAAATGAGCAAGTCTGAGGTTAGTATGATGGTACGTATTCTGAGAGGACACACAAGATTACGTGCACATCTATACAAAATTGGACGTGCTGATCCAGACGAATGTAGAGCATGTGGAGAGGACAGTGAAACTCTGGAGCACTTTCTTTGCCACTGTCAGGCATTCGTCGAAGTTAGATCCAAGTATCTTGGAAGTGATGTTATTCCTGAAATAATTCCGGTATTCGGTTAATATTATAGCACTTTTTAGCTGAGGGGACATGTCGCAGGGTTTTTTCTCCATTTTTTTTTTTTTAAATAATAAAAATAATGAACGTTTAGATGGAGACTCAAAAGTAGGGTTCTATAGTTGAAACGAAAAGTCGACTTTTTTCAGTTAGTTAAAAGTCGACTTTTTTCATTTAATTAAAAGTCGACTTTTAGACTTTTCGACAATAAGTATTTTATATATTTTTTTTGCTTTTTGACTATTTTCGACTATTTTTTGACTTTTTTCGAGTTTTTCCGACTATTTTAGAGTTTTTGCCTTTTTTTCCACTTTTTTAAAATTTCGACTATTTTTGTACAATTTTCGATTTTTCGACTTTTTTCGACTTTTCGATTTTTTTCGATTTTATTGTCGTGTGCACCCTGTAGTTAAGCTACCAAGTAAAAGAAGAAGCAGGGTAAACAGGTGGCAACTAAATAGAAAGGGGAATTTTTAGTTTAGGAAGAAAAGGATGAAAATAAACAAAAACAAAACAATTATAGAAAAAAAAATAAATGTAAAGAATTCAGTTGCTGAAAATATAAGGGCACCATATTGGCAACCGAGGTTTCTCGGTCTCTAATGACCAAAATGTCGGTCCTTTTTTTTTATTTTCTGAGTCTACTGAAGAAGGTGGAGTCCGTGGCCATCGCCTACGTAAAAAAAAGAAAACAAGAAAACCTTTTCATTGTGAAACTGTTTTATTTTTATTAAAGAAAAAATTTAAAGAATTTTTAAAAACTTAAAGCTTAAAACTAAATTAAAGTATATTTAAAACTAAAATAAAGTAAACGTAAAACTAAATAAAATCCAACTTAAACTCAATCAGCCAACGCCTAGCCACGCCATCGCCAGCTCCACTCAACGGGGAACTTCTTCGGCAGATTATCACCAACAATCCGGTGGTGCTTCAGGTACCGGGTTTTCGACTAGGAAAATTTACTTTATTGTGAGTGGGTAGGGATAGTTAGGGGCAACTAGGCTGATTAGGTTGCTACGGTTGTAGGTTTAGGCCCCTGGGAGGGAAATTACATATTGACTACTCCATCCGCCAATAATGATTATTCTTGGCCTGTAAAGGAAAAATTTAGGTAAATGTTTGGTGTATTCATCTTGTAAAAGTTTTGCTCACTTCGGGTCCCTTTCAATTTAAATACTTTTCTTTTTTTAACTTAAAAGTAAAGCTGGTATTTTATAGAATTTTTGTACCCAGGAAAAGTTGCAGTGTCGGCAAGAACCACCCCATCCGGCGAGCATCAGCCCGGCCGACCCACAACAGATGTTTCGGCATTTGTTTTGTTATCATTTTTCTCAATCCTGGCCAGTACATTATTCGATGTTGTGTTAAATATGTTTAACAAATATACTTTAATAATTTATACAAATTTGGTGAAATAACGACCAATTCATTATTAAAATATGAGTAGTTGAGAAATATTGTTATTTTTATAGTTATTTATTTAATTATTTATATTCTTTATAAAAATAACAAAAATTTAACAAGCAAATATCTAAAATTTTATTATTTTTGAATTAAATGTATTGTAAATAAAATTCAAAATATTGCAAGTGCAACACTGATTCAAGCATTCTTTATCGCACACGATCTTCACTCTTTAAGTGCAGAATTAAAATAAAGCAACTGCCAAAAATACGAACGCTTAACAAAAGAGATACCAAAAAACCCCTCAAATTACGAATCGTGCGTCTTTTGCTACTTCCCTTTCGTCTTTACCCCCTTTGCCAACAAACTCGTGTCGCATGGCTCGTGTCGCACGTTGGTGTTCCCTCAGCTAAAAGTGGTCTTACATCCTACACCCTATATATGTACAGTGAATCAATTAAGTAATTTGCCTATGTAAAATTTTATAAATTTTAAGAAAAAACTTTATCTGAACAATTATTTTTAGCAAAATAAAGCAATTTGTTTGTTGTACTTTTAAAGAATATCTTATATTTTAATTTTCTACCATAAAAATCAAAATCGTGATATTAATTAACGAGATTTTTGATAAAATGTGAACGTATTGTTAATTTTTAAGGTCAATAAAGTATTTAGCTTTTTTAGGTTTTTTATAAAATTTAATATTTTTATTACTCCTATGTATTAGAATAACATTTTTTAGATATTTTAGTAGTGCAACGACTAAGTTTGGACATTTCTTAACCGATTTAATATCCTATATACCTATAAGAATTTTTCAATATTTGACTTAACATGAAATCTATCGTTTCTTTGATTTTATTTCGAAAATAATAAGTAATTTTGAATTGGATACATGATATATTAGGAAATCAATGGATTTGGACCTAGAAAAAAATTTCAGAGGGGTATAAATATATAGATTATAACAAAAATAATCTGGGTTTTTGGTCATTTTGTATTGATAAACAAAAACTACATTACGGAAACCCCATCTATTTGGGGAGTACTGTGTGTATTTCATTTAGAATTGTATAATATTGATTCTTTTTCAATAAAGCTAACACTAAGTACCATTCTAGCCACTCTAAGTATGGGGATATCACCGTATACCACTATAGAACTATTACATGCTAGAATCTTGATATTCTACCTCATATTTTGAATGCATTATTTTATGATTAAAATACAGTAGGCGTAGTTGGATTTGGATAGTTATTTTTGATTTGAGTTCTAACTATATATAATTGTATGTATTAGCTGAAAAGTATTGCTTTTGTGGATCTTAGGTGATGAGAACCGCCTCTATTTGCAAATATCTAAATTAAGTATTTTTCTCGTACCACACGATAGTTCACTTTATATAGTTTCCAAGCAACCTAAGGTCTGTTTAGGGATCTAAATTTAAACATAGTGTTCTTTTAAGTTCGTATATGGACTTTAGGGAAGAAAAATGAGGACTTCAATGGTTTTTCCTTGGATACAAGTCGCTCTCCTTTGGCAGTTAAAGATTTTGAAAGACAACTCAATGCGTTTTTTTTTATTAATTCTTTGTGTTATTTCATCAATTTATATATTTTATATTTTTTAATGATTGATTAAACATCTCATAATTGAATTTCATTAATTTATACTTGTCCTAAAAATCTAAACAAATTTTTTATATTGGAATTGCCTCATTATTTCCCTTTAAACATTTTTGACGCAAATAACTACACAGTTTCACACAATAAGGATATTATTTTTGAAAATTACAATTGAAAAATACTTAACACGTGTCCTTTTAACAATAAAACAATAAATTCCAAAAAGCAATTAAAAAATAATTTTGAAAACCCAACGATATTAACTGGAAATTTCAATATGCAAAATACTTTATTGACGTGCAAATTCTGATGAAAAATTATAAAATGCAACAACAAATGCACCAAAATTTTTATTTTAATATTTTTTTCTTGGTTTTCCCATTCTACATAATCTCTATTTTCAATTGGAAAACATAAATTTACTTTTTACCTGTTTTTTTGAATTTTATTTATGAACAAAAAACAAAATTCTCTTAAAAAAGGTAGGCAAAAAACTTAGTTGATTCACTGTATGTAGGGTCCCCTTCAACAAAAAAAAAAAATTATGACATCTCGGCCGGATTCGGATTCAGCGCTACTCAGTGTTGAGAAAAGTATACTTTGTTCTGTGGGTTCAAATTTCTTAAATATTTGTGATGCTACGTTGTTTTGCTAAAATATTGCTTTTGATGATATATAGACACATAAAATTTTGTAATACATCTTATATTATCATTTAGTTAATCATAATAAATCAAAAATATTTTTTTTTGTTTTTCTGATGATCAACCCTAATATACATATGTATGCATTTTGAGGAGTTTAGTTGTAACGACTTTTTAAAACGGGGTTGACAATATTATTCCTGAACTTTGAGGTTTCTTTTAATAAAGTAATAAAAGATTTGGGAAAAATTCAAAATTTTGCAGCAAATTTAAATTTTTTTTCAAGTATGATCATTAGAATATTTTTTATTTTGGTCTTAAGAAAAAGTTCACTTTAAAAACTATAATTGTAAAGTAAACAATTTTTAGACATCACATTGTCCTTTAAAAAATTTTAGTCTGTATTTAAAGTTTTCCTTATTTTATTAACATTTGTTACCTTTTATATACAAGCATTACATAGTCATATTAGTCCTTTAATTGTTTTACAACGACAGGTAACAAATAATTGACATAATTCTCGTTAAGGAAAAATTCAGACCACATCGTAAAAATACGTTGTGAAATTTTATAAGTGTTGCCACTTGGTAGCGTGTGATATCTCTTTTTGTCGTAGCTAAATGGTTTCTCTATCTCTGTCAGTACTGTCTGAATAAACATTGTATTGTTGAAGGGTATGTTGTTGTTTAGACTTATATTTAACTGCTTTATGAAAAGTTGCCATCGAGGTTTGAAAAAATCTCTGACTATACCAGACCATTGTTTTGTTGCATAATCTACTATTTGTCCAGAGGGTCCCCAGAGAGTTATTTGATTTCTTGCATTAAACTCAAATTGTTCCCTTTCATTGGTTGAAGTTGCTATATTTTTCGCACTTTCTAGCCAAGGACCCAAAAGAAAGTTTTCGTGTGTGGACAGTATCAAATCCAAATCATCGAAGATACTTATCATTATTTGGGAGAGTTGGAGGAATTTATCGTTTTGTTTTTTCTTAAATGATTGAATTAAGTTGACATATATACGCTCTGCAGTTACTTGTAAAAATTGTCTTGTAATGTCTACCAGGTCGTTTTTATATATGTTATAGTGAGTATTTGGAATTGTTCCATTCAACTGAAGTAATTTAGACCAGGATTCATAAATATCAGAAGAATTATACCATGTCCACACGTTAATGCGTGTTGAGGGCCGGCGTGCTATCACATATTTACCGCGAATTTTTTTAAAGCTATAATAAGAGTATACTGAGTTCCTAAGTAATTGCCAAGCATTCCGCAACTCATTATTCACAATTCCATATTGTACATCCGCATATGAGTTAAACCACGCAGTCAGATTTATGTCGTCTTTAAGCCATGCTCGCTCCAATGCCAAAGCGTACATAACGTAGTTTTGGTTAATACCTTCCGGTGTAATTCCAACTCCAATCATAGAACTGTTTGTCATTGTGCGTGCTGTTCTTATTCCTTGATTGATAACGTTCACTGAGCCGTGCATCCCTAAAGTTCCACCGAAGTTGTGAAGCATACACCAAATAAAATAATGGCCATAAAACGAGTGTGTTCTTTCGTATTGGGGAAATTGTTCGCTTTGTAAGTCTAATACCAAAAGTCCACCCGTCGGAACTGCCGTGAGAAATGCTTCAATTAGTTTATCGGACCAAAATATATTTTTGACAAACATCCATCCTTGTAGCAACCAAATTGCTTCATTATCTACTATGTGCATAGAGTTATATATGTGATAGGCTGTCATATTTAGATATGAGGCGTCGGCGATACGAGGCTGTATTTCATTAAACGGATCTGCAAAGTAAATGTGATCGGTGCCGTAGTTGATTATAACCTTTTTTAAAAACATATTAGTTATATTTTTAAATAAAGGATCGATTGGATCTAAGAAAAGTCCGCAACAGAACGCGATTGGAAATTTATTCCAACGATCAGTAATAGAAAAGTTTGCTGTTGGATATATTTTTTTCATTGCAACTGGTAAATGTCCCGAAAAGGATGGTAATGCAACAATCATACCAAGGCTTCGTTGCTGCTGAATAATTTTTTGTTGTAAAATCATTTGCATCCTTCTGTATGCTGGCCCTAAAGGTCCGCCCCATCCACGAATATTTCCCATACGTAACCTGCAGATAAAAAAATAAATATTAAATGTATGTATTTGAATGATTTTATTTTATGTAGCTTCCTGACGTCATTAGTTCTAAAGATAAATCACTTTAAATATAAATACAAACAGTGATGTTAGGATATTTTATTCAGAAATCCCTACATTTTTTCCCCTACACTTCTTTTCTCCAGTTTTTTTATTATTAAATTTTATTTTAAATTAGCTATACCCAGTGTGCTTTGCTACCCTAAAAGCAATATGTATAAATAAAAAACCCACTTAACGATTTTGAAGATTCTTACTACAATAGTTTCCCAGATTTATAATATGTTACATATGAGATATGTCAAGCAAATTATTTCTATCTATCACCAATTTCTATCAATCTATGAAAAATTTGAATGATATAAAGTTTCCAATATACACGAAATTTTGTATTTAATTCATATATACTGTGACAAACCACCCATTGAAAGTCCGCCCGTTATGCTCTAAATGTTTACATGAATGTCAAAGTTCTTCATGTAAAATTTTAAGATATACGATATACGAATTTTTCTATTTGATTCATGTGGGGGCTTCAAGCTCCCCAGATGAAAGTCCGCACTTTTTCCTCCAAAATGTTTAGATGAATATTTAAGTTCTTCGTGCAAAATTTGAAGAATTTAGTTTCATTAGTTTCCTAGATAAACGAATTTTTATATTTAATTAATATGGGAGGTGCCGCTCCCGTTATGGGTAGTCCGCCAATTTTTTCTCAAAATGTTTAAATGGATGTTAAAGTTATTAGTGCAAAAATTGAAGATTATAACTGTAATAGTTTCCAAGATAAACGAATTTTTGTATTTAATTTATATGGGAGTTGCCACGCCCCCTAATGCTATTCCGCCTACTTTTTGTCCTAAAAAAATCATAAATAGTTTGGCATTTGGTTTAGTCCATTTCAAAATTACGGAATTTTTGACACCTATTTCGAAAAGATTGCACAAAATTATTTTTGAACATATTGTACTGAGATCAAGATTTTCAATCGAAGGTAGGCAACTGAACTGGTATTCATCCAAAAAACAAGCAGAGCTACTACAGAAAGCATTTGTTGTTGTTTTCATTACAAAAATTAGTATTTTTCGACATTATTTTCATCAGTAGTTTCCGATTTTGGAGCCCCGATGATATCTGCTAAATCTAAATATGGGGAGCAAAATTATATTGTGGAAATTGACCAATATCTAATAATAAACTTAAAACTGATTTTATTTTTAATTTCAAAGGAAAAACATGTTTTTAATTGCTAAGACCTGGTTCACACTGGAAAACTTTTGTTGAGAAACTTTTGATTTTGTGTGTGAGAGAAAGAGATCGTTGATATTTGTTTCTCTTTCTCTGACACACAAAAATCAAAAGTTTGCCAGTGTGAACCAAGTCAAAAAGATATGAAATTGAAAAAAATCCTACAATTTGACAAAAATCTTTCCTTTTTTCCTGCATGTGAAATAAAAAATAAAATCTTTACACTTGGCATCACAGCATGCAAGTCAGGGATATTGAAACAAATGCAGCAATTTTCAATGGAAATTGCTGTTTTTTTTTTGTTATGCCCATTTTTGGAGATTGATGATTTTGTTATAAATTGAAATGCATGAAAACAATTTGTTTCGATTATATTTCGTCCCTATTACATCCTGTAAAATTTTTTGAAAAACACACGGAACTCGTTACACATGAAACTAAAGTCTATTACTATTGGTACACTCAGTTCTTCATAAGCAGCTCTTATGTCCTAGACTTTAAAGTTTAAACAATAATCTATTAAAAAAGAAGAAATCTTGTATGCGATTTATACCAACCAAAAACTAGTAGATTTTGGCTTTACCTATTTGGTTTTTGTTTGAAAAGCTACTAAAATTGCTATGGTTTTCCATAAAAATTTATAACTACTTTCTAATAGTTTTTGTTAAAAACTCAATCAAAATCCAATAAAAACAAGTAAGAAGTATATATTCACTTTTGCCGAATCTTATATACCCTTCACCATAGTGTATTTAAAAAATATAAATTTTATAAAATTTCAATTTATTTAATTTTCCCGACTATATTATTATTTTAGCAATAAACAAAATAAAACACATGAAATACATAAAAAACAAAATACTCAACACAATGAAACCAATAGACATCCAAACATATGAAACGAAACAGAAAAACAAAATACACAACGCAATGAAACCAACATACATACATCCAAACACACATCTCTTTTCCAAAGCATGCAAAAAATTGTCTTTTTTTGATGAAATTTTCAGAGGTGGTCTCAGATTTTTGCTCATATCTCCGCTATTTATGGTCCGATTGTGCTGATTTTAAATAGCGTTCTTGCCGGTCGTATTTCCGATAGAATTATTAATAATTTGGATCTTGCCGATATCTGGGGTCCTCTAAAAACTGATTTCAACAAAATTACAGACGGACAGACAGAAAGACGGACATAGCTATATCAACTCCGCTACCTATAAGGATCCGGAATATATATACATACTTTATGGGGTCGGAAAATTATATTATAGAAATTACAAACGGAATGACAAACTTATATATACCCTTCTCACGAAGTTGAAGGGTATAAAAACAAAAACTAGCTCTTTTTTTATAAAAATGGATAAAATGTCAAAAAGAATGAAAGAAATTATTTTAATATTACATATTTAAATGTGTACGAATTATACTGAAAAGAAAAAAGTATATGAAGAATTTTGAGTCAAGTGACCCAACTTTAAAAATCGATGTCTTCCGATTTGAATGAAATTTGCACCAAGGTTGGTACCATATAGTAGCATATAGGAGAAAGGGATTGTCAAAGACCTAAGTCCCCTGTCAAAAACCTAACTGGTAAGAATGTATTAGTAGAAGCACGAAAATAAACACAGTTGTTCGAAAGGTACTATATAATTAAATGTATTTTTGATACGTTATTTTTTGTATGTTATTACAGGGAGTTCATATACTAGTGAATGAAAATATTAGTTAATTAATTTTTTTCAGAAGATATTTCATCTTAAAACATATTATAAACACGACTTTTTGTTATTTTTTCTGCACTAATGGAAAAAGAAAAAAAATTATGTGAAATATTTTTTTTCATTTTCAATACGAAAATAAAATAATAAATATTAAGTTTAAGTGATAAGAAAAACTATTAAGTGCTAATATCCTCGCAATTTCGCGAAGAAAATTTGAAGTTTTGTGAGTACATTTAGTTCTCTCAAGTGTGTTTTATTCTCTCAGAACTCGTCTGTGTGAAGATAATAACAAATTTTGTTTGACAACCCCTTCAGTTTCGCCTATATCCCTACTATATGGTTGGTACTATGGGATAGTAGACTAGACACAAACTTTCAGCTCTATCTCAAGAACTGCCGGAGTTGGACATTTTGTATGACCAAAAGGGTTTTATTTATTTTTATTTTTTTACATATTGGTCCTAGCAAAAATTGTCCAAAGGAGTTCAGATAGCTATTAAAATTAAAATTAAATTAAATTAAAAAATTTTGGAACGAATGTGTTACACTCATTTGAATAAAACCCTGTATGACCAAAATGTCTGACCTATCCAATAATCCAATCAACTTAAAGTTTATTTCACAAAAAATAAAAAGCGTTTGTGCTTTTTAATTCATTTTATTATCTTCAATGTTCAGAAATCCAGTTTACTAGACGTAATTCGTAATAATTTTCCAGTGTTCGTGAGGAATGTTATATCCGGAATAATATCACTCCAAAGATATTTGCATCTCACTTCGACTGTAGCAAAGAAAGTGCTACAGAGTTTCACTGTCCTCTACACATGCTCTACATTCGTCTGAATCTTGTATATGTTTCTACTCTTGCTCTCATTAGGCTCACCCTATAGGGATCTTGTGGTTCTACCCACCGTTTCATTATTCCAAGAGGCCTTATGAGATTTTCTCACCCATATTTTTAATTCAGCCTTCATTGCGTCGAATGGTTTTGCGATCGCCAGGTTAACTATCTCGAGCTCCCTTCCTATTTAAGCCCTTTCGTTGCCGACTAATCCCGAGTGGTCTGGTACCTATATGATGTAAATCTCACCTCTGGGAGAGTATTTATTTAAATTTACGCATTCCGTTATTGCTCGGACATCTGCCTGCAAGCTTGTGTTGTGATTAGGTAAACGGTGGTATATTTCTGTTTCTGGGTCTTCAATATAGAACACCAGCCACACATTGTTCCCCAATTTAGAACCATTCGTGTAGTAACGGGTATGTGCTCTAATGTTATGCTTGACCAAGACATTGTATCTGGGATCGGTGTTTCAACTTTTCTGACATATTCTGTATCTGGTATGCGATCGGACACGTCCGGTGATTGTTCATAACCTTACAATTTATACAGTATAACCGCTTTTGGCCAGTTCGCCTGAAGTTATAAGCCGTTCGGCTGGAAGTGTCGCCTCATATCTCATGGCACCGCTTATTACCCAAGCAGCATATACGCTGATCTCCCCGTAGTAGTTTGATATAACACTTTTTGTCCAAAAAAGTCCTCCTACATATCGCCCTATCTATGTGGTGTCTCCATTTTGAGTTCCGGTCAAGGATTACACCAAAGAACTTAACTCCGTCTGTCACAGGAATCTTCTTGCCCAGAAAACAGGGTTCAGTATACTTAGAAATTTTTGTCTCTCTTGTGAAAAGACAGATTTCCATCTTCGCCGGGTTAGCCATACAGTAGCATATAGGCGAAAGGGAATTTCAAAGACCTAAGTCCCCTGTCAAAAACCTAACTGGTGAGAAAATTTTAGTAGAAGCACAAAAATAAACGCAGTTGTTCAAAAGGTACTAAATAATAAATGTATTTTTACAACTTTTCCTTTTTCAGTTTTAATTAAAATGAAATGTCAAAGAATAAAAAATATTTTTTTCGTTTGTAAGAGAACAATAAATTTTGTTTGACAACCCTTTCGGTTTCGCCTATATAGCTACTATATGATTGAGGCCT